TGCTGACCCATGACTGTGTGCCAACCTACAGCACCAACCACATTGTGAAGTTTGTGGATGACACGACTGCAGTTGACCTCATTACCAACAATAACGAGGCCAACTACAGGAGTGAGGTGTGCCAACTGGTCCAGTGGTGTAAGGACAACATCTTCCTCAATGTGGGGAAGACTAAAGAGATTGTTGTGGACTTCAGGAGAAAACCTCTAAAGCACCCCCCACTGACCATCAACAGTGCTGTAGTAGAGAGAGTGAGCAGCACCAAGTTCCTTGGTGGGGAGCACATCTCTGAGGACCTCTCCTGGACCAACAACACCACAACACAGGCCAAGAAAGATCAAACACGCCTCTTCTTCCTCCCACTTCAGACTCCTGCCTTCAGGAAGAAGGTATCAGAGTCTTCAGGCCCACTCCACCAGACTTACAAACAACTTCATCCACCAGGCTGTGAGGATGCTGAACGCTGTCCATTATCACCCCCCTCTGGGTGGGTCTCTACTGTAACACACACACCATTTGTATAAGGGTGGGTGACACAAAATATATCTGATTGTACCATCAGCCATCAGACCAACACAAAAGGTTGTACGTGTGGCCGGAGGGGGCTTCCTCTGCTCTGAAGCACTGTTTTGACACTACAGACTGGGATATTTTCAAACCAGCATCCACTCACAACAATCATGGATGACAGGTGAGGTTCACAGACTCCTGAGGGCTCAGGATGCAGCCTTTAGGGCTGGCGACACCATAGGCCTAGCAACAGCAAGAGCCAACCTGTCCCGTGGAATCAGGGAGGCAAAATGCCAATATAGCAAGAAAGTATAGTACACGGTTTTGAGTCGCAGCTTATTGGCTGTACCGTTTAGATTTATCCTAATTAGGTCAATCCAGTTCATATTCTATTCTATGCTGGTTTTATTCTATTTTAGTTCCTAAATGTTATGGCACCCAATACTAGGTGAGAGAGAAACTGTATTTTGATTTTCTGTATGTCCTGCACATATGGTGACTTGACAATAAAATCCTTGAACCTTGAACCATACTGTCTGCCTTCTTTACAGTGCCGTTGATAGGAGTAAATTCAGTCTGCATCGTGCTGCTGCTTCTGTTTGGCTGAAGAGGAGCGAGTGGAAATGGGGGGATCCAGTCTACTGTCAGGACAGCATCTCCTCAGGAACCCTTCTGAACAAATATCAGATCTTTTTGTGGCACAGAAGGTCTCCTGTCAGCCTGATTGTGTGTTGTTATTCAATTCATTGACTGTTTTTACAACACAGTAATTCAAAATAAGTACATGCAGCTCTTTAGAAAGATTAATGATATAATAAATAGTTGACATCTGACTTTTTTTTTTGCAAAAATATAAATAAGAAAAACTAGTGTTTTTATTATTATTATAATTTTCAGAAAACCAGAACACGAACTCAACTGCTGTCACGGAGTTGACAGTAAAATGTTTGTACACATTTAAATCTATTCTTCAGTATGTGGTATTGTTGTAAAACTTCTCGAAAATAAAACGTTGTATAAACACTTCACTTAGGTGCAACAAGACTGATCTCATGAAATAAGCAATTGTTGCTATTGTTGTTCCGCACTCCAGCCCAGCAGGTGGCGATAATGCACCTTAAGCTGTCTTGCAAACCGCCAATAAACAAGATGAAGACGCGAAGTTGTGTTGTTTGTCCCACCCTCCCCCACTCGCCGTACTCTTACACTGCTGTTGAGGGCAGCAGGATCAATGGATTTATCCAACAAGTGAATGAATATCTTGTGATACGAAGCGGCAATTCCTTTGATAAACAAACTGTGTTGCATATAAACGTTTTCCTGAGGAATAATGGGGAACACGCAAAGTTACATTGTTGTGTCACTCTCTGTATGTGCCGTTTATTTAGGTTATGTATACATTTACTGTTCCTATAAGTTGTTGAAGACGAATATTCTCAACAGCGACAGACTTCCTAGTTTTATTTATCTTTACATCAAATATTGGACCCGAGCTCTGACTCGGAGAACAGGCTACCTGTACACAACTACAGCAACAAACACGCGTGACGCTGTGTACTCGGTCCTCAAGTGCAGGTGAGAGTCGTCCACTCCCGTTGTATCCCGTGTGAAGCTCGGGTGCTTATCGTCCATAATTAGAGCCTGTGTCTCTGTCTGTCTCAGGCTGGAGACTCCCTTGTTGAGGAGCTTCTGCAGTGCAGCAGGCTATGGTTGGGATTATCCAGACAGTGAATTCAGAGACATCCCGCTGTGCTTCCCCGAGTTTCTCTGTGCCAGACTGCTGCTTATGGTGCTCACTGACGAAAACTTCAGGCTCAGCCCAGCAGGTAATGCTTCCATTCACCGTAACTCTTACACCAGAGAGGTTAACAAGACAAATGACATGATAAAAGTACATAAAAGAAAAAAGTTCAACTGAGACAAAGGAGAGACTCACTCGAATATGTTACATAATCTAGATTTGGAATAATGGCACCAGTGAACAACTTCAAACTGAATGAACACATATACAAACATAGGAGCTGCCTGTCTGGGGGGGGGCTTTGAAAAACTTATATTGCCCTGGAATCATTTTGGATGTTGGATTTAAGAGAATTTCACATCTATAGATAGTAAAAGAAAATAGATTTGGGACGCTCATTCATACCTAACCTGATCAAACTAGATGTTTTGTTTGTTTTTTTTTTTACTGCTACATTTTATTGCCACTGTCCTGATTCCCATTTTTTTGGAGTGCTTATAATACAGTGTTAGAAAATGGTAGTAATATGATAGTGTTTGTAAATGATTTTTGCAGGTTTGGTTCGTGTGCGTCACAGTTTGAAAAGCCTTCAACCAATTGATGAGCTTAAGAAGGGTCCATTCATGCTGCAGGTCCAGGTCCTGGAGTACCAGCACATTGATGCTGGGGTGGAAGTGGACATCGGTCTCTCTGCCACTTCTCGTACGGGATCCCGGGTGTGGGAGAGTGTCCTGACGCTACTGTCCAAAGACGAGCTCCACAAAGGCAACATGTGCTTCCTCAAGAATGAAACCAAAAATGAGCATCAACCTGGTAATTTCTGCTACGAATGTTCTTGGCCTTTTTACACCAGGAACATGAATGAATGTCTTTGTCTTATAGTGGTGGCCTTGCATTGAATGCACACCCTGGTTTTATTTCCTTGTTCTGACAGACCAACCAGGTGAGAGTGTGGCAGAAAACATGAAGCAAGTAGAGCTCAGAGTCCCTTGGAGTACTGGCCTGAAGTGTGTATGGTTGTCCTCTCACTACTCCCCCTACTGGCTCCTCTCTCTGCCTGCAATGCTCTTTGGCTACAGATCATATATCACACCAAGTCTCTGGATGTTTTCTGTCTGCTTGGCTGAAATAGAAAAGCACAGAGGTACTCGAATTCATGTTAATTGATTTTGTAAAAATACAGAATTACTATGTTTAGTTGTTTTCAGCTATACTGGTAAGACCTTCTGACCTTTTATTGTGTCATCAGGGGTTGAAGTCATCACAGCTCCTATCACCATCACAGCCCAGTTTAAGGAGCCCCTGTCGGTTCCAGGCAGCGTGATGATCGACTTTTGGGATACTGTCAAAAACGGGGCTCAGTCTCCTGCCCAGGGCCTCAAATTCCACATGCGGCAGCATGGAAGCAAAATGTCTCACATGGTGGGGCTGATTTCTAGGCCTTGATTTACACAGAGGGTTTGTATTTGTAGTATTGATAAAACATAACAAAATACTGATATTTTACTTTTCCCCTTTAGTTCTGGTATGTGTGTCTGTTACCTGCCCACTGTCACCAAGTGCTTGCTCAAGGGGAATATGTTCTGTTTTTCTTCTATAATATTGATAATAATGTCTAGACTTTACTTTGTAACGTGTTCTGATGACTTTTGTTGTGATTTGTCGCTATGCAAATAAAATTGTAACTGAGTGCAACAAGATTGGTCTGGGTGCCATTCAAGCTTTTTTTCATACAAAACATTAAATAATGTAGTTGTAATTTCCATCCATTATCTATAACGCTTATTCCTGAATAGGGCCCCGGGAGGGCTGAAGCCTAATCCAGCTGTCATTGGGTGAGAGGTGGTGTACACACTGGACAGGTGGCCAGTCTATCACCTGGTATAGTTGTGGGGCTTATCTGTCTAAAATTTGAATGTAATCCTTTTCATAGCAACATTTATTAATGTATCTACCTCTGAGCCTTCGATTTTATTGTTAAAACTGTTTTCAGCTTCACTGAGTGTGGCAGGGTTCTAAAAACACTTTTTTTTTTTTTTACACAATATGGCAATAGATCATTTTAGATAGAGTGATCCACCTGACTCTGTTAAAGGGATACTGTGTGTGTGTGGTGGTGGTGGTCGCTCCACTACCACTACCTGCTGGATGGTTGATGGTGTTATGGCTGTGGGTTATCCCTCCCCTTTTCATTTGTGTATACGTTTGCCGGTGAATGTGCCTGTAGGAAGTAACTACAAAATCAAAATTAAAACTGAAAATAGTGATGTGTAAATCATCCTGTCCTGTATTACATTGAAAACAACACAGCAGCACATTATTTGATGTGATACCTCATCAATTTTTTTCTCTGTTCAACATAAACACTCACTCCAAAAAACACATTCCAAAAAAAAGTTTGAAGGCTGCATTTCAGGGCCAGTAATGAGGTAAAATAATGAAATGATGACTCCATTTGAAACAGGTGATGTCAACAGGTGACTGCATCATGATTTGGTACAAAAGTGGCATCCAGGAAAGGCCGAGCCCTTTAGGAGCAAAGATGGGCCGAGGACCACCAGTTTGACAACATATGGTTTCAAGGTTTCAAAGATTTTTATTGTCAATTCTCTATATGTGCTGGACATACAGAAAAATTGAAATACTGTTTCTCTCACCTAATATTAAATGCCAAACCATTTAAGAAAATAAAATAGAATAAAAGCAGAATACAGATAGAATAAAATAGAATAAGAAAACTAAATTAGAGTAATTGG